GATGTTTACCAACGTTTCTGAGGCCATACTGCCTCCGACATCAGGACGATGAATCTACCAGACTACACAGCGCAACAACCCAGAAGACAGAAATCTTCATATTCGGATCTTGTAATGGAGTTTTGTGTTAGCTGGGTAACTGGTTATGTCATCACAGGTGGTAAACTGAAATCATCACTTATTAGCGTGCGAACATAGACAACTTGACGTGAGTTAAACCCAGACCCATGATAATGATAACATGCCTTCACACCGGTAATAAACACTGTAAACTTATATGGTTTGACCGACCGTTTCGCAGTTAAACAAGTAAATTAGGGCTTATGTATCAGTTGTCAGAAGGCGTTACCCAGACATGACTTACCCTACCTATGGCTCTGCCTCGTTCGAATTCGTCCATCCAGTCCCATACTTAGGTTTGCTATTTAACATTTTAACCTGAATAGGACATAACAAAATGTGTAAACATTTGAAATAGTAGCAGGAAGTACAAAGTTTTTGTGCACAGGGCCGTGGTGTAATTTGTTTCAAGACTACGGTAAGTACCAGTTTTTAATATGACATTCACATAATTACAGTATATAAATGTGGAAATGTTTACTTACGTATATCATGAGAAATGGGGTGGTGGAGACATATAGTGTGCATGTGAATGAAAAATACATTTTCAACACAAGATCGTGTGGTAGACGTAGACGCATGTGGAAGGATTCTGTTCAAATGGATGTTAAAAAAATAGGACACGATTTTGTGGTCCATTGGCGGAATTGTGAAGACGGTAATGAACTTTCGGCTTCAATTTAATGTGGCAAAGTTCTTGATAGCTGAGTTTCTGAATGATGTTTAATCACGTCCTTATTTTGTTCTTAGTATTTATCTGCTTAGGTTTAGCTTAGATCACACACGTCTATCAATTTGAAAGTGGGCCTTGTATCGTTTCCTTGATTTGATCGCTCTAATAACACTAACGAGTAGAAATTATGAAGTTCTTCACTCTGTAGTTTTCTCTAGTTATTTATTTATGCACATACTTTTGGACCCAACATTTCTCAGAAGTTTGAAAATTAAATTAAAACAATAATTTTTCCAATATTGGAGAATAAAGTATAAATTTCGCAGACAAAATTGTTTTTAATGCGATCAGCTACGAAAGGCACTGACCTAAGAGAGACGTGAAAGAAACCCATTGAAATACCTCGAGTTGTATTATGTACATTTCCGTGATAATGAAATACTCCGATAACGTGTAATATTGACACATCCCAGTGCCAGTGCGTTGTTAGTACAAATGCACCTAAACGCATATCTCGTACGAAGTTTATCAGATTAAGGTGTTTCTGATACATCCTTTAATACCGATCAGAGAAACATTTTTATTTTTAACCGAATTGTTATTGGACGCTTACAAGACTTTGTACTGTGGACCCCCCCCCCCCCCGGGC